CTGTCTGTTGTTACGGATTGCATTATGTTTATGTTTATTTGTTTCTAGGTTGCCTCCTCACTGCCTGTAGCCTGCTCACCACCTTTACGTTCATGAATATTTTTCTTCGCTCACCCGTAATCTACCAGGCAGAATTGTATATCGGCCTGGCAATTTTCTGTTCATTTATAGTTTACGATACTCAACTAATTGTTGAGAAAAGTAGAATGGGTGATACTGATTTCATTTGGTAAGCTATAAATGCTGAAAGCCTTAATTTATAGTAAAATTTCGTAGGATTAATATTAATAATTTATTAAATTTAATTCATCGATAGGTAATTGTGCTCTTTTTTGTCCTTCCTAGGCTTTAAACAAATTTTTTTTAATTGGCTGAGGGGTATTAGTTATATTCTATCTATTCATGATGAGTTTGTGTAAAAAATATTTTTTTAGGCACGCGTTGGATCTCTTCATTGATTTCGTTGAAGTATTCAGGCACTTATTGATTATCCTGAATCGCAAGAGGGTTAGTGGTACTTTTCATTGATTCTTTGTTATAATATTATTTTGCATTGCTTGATTAAGCAGTCTTTCCTTATGCACTAATGCAATCGTCCTTTTGCTTTATTTCAGGGCCGCGAAGAAAATGATAACTAGCTTCAATTTTTCACGCAGCTCACTTAACTGAGAGACTACTTATTTCCCATAGGTGTCGCCACTAAGGTACTTACTGTCCTTATTCAGTAAAGACTATCTACGTGCATTGATTTGATTTGACTTGACTACTTTAGTCGATGTGTCATAAATTGTTTTTTCACTGCCTTTATTAAATTTACGGCTCGAGTCACCGTTCACTATCCTGACTTTCAGCCAAATTATATGAGCATTCTTCTTTGATGTGCTTCCCCGAGTATTTTCTTAAGATTGCTTTGCGACTATTTCTGTTTACTGCACCTATCATTAACAATTTAATTTCAACATTAGGAATGGGGCTAACTCGTTATTTTTTCGCCTTGGTGTGAAGGTGTAAAATTCTTAACGGTGTGCTGCTGTAAATAACTAGACCAACCTACAAGCAGGGGGGCGTGTTTTCTGTGAAACTATTGGTTATCTACATCTGACGAATTATATTTTCAGCGAGATAACTCATTGCATTTAGATTCTAAAAAAGAGTCAAGCTGTCATCTTTACCAATCTTAGAATGCTCCAGATGGTGCTGACCATATTATTTGTCCCGTCTTGACAGAAAAGCCTTGTTCTCATGGCCTCTTCATAATTTAGTCATTCAAACATCTGTTAAGTGTCCGTCTTGATTTTTCTTTTTTCAGGGTCATTTGTCCTCTTAAGGAATTCTGATTTCCCTTCTATTAATTAACTTTCCCTTTTTTGTCCAATTTGATCCATTTTTTCTAAATGACTCAATAATGGAAATCCGTTTATAGGCTTGCATTTAGACCTTTGCAATGTGTGGTCTTTCGCTGAAACAGGGGAAACAATATTTTTTTCTTATCTTTGGCTCACCATCCTTTCCCTGCCAGGTCTTACACTCAGAGCCCTTGATCAATATCGTATGTTGTCGGTCCCTTTCTAATTTGTCTCAAGGTGTAGTGGGTCCAAGTGGACGCATGCTATTATTTTGTGCATAAACTGTCTAACATTCTGTTGATTTCACATTTTTCTAGCTCAATTGTAATCTCCAAATAGTTCATTGTCTGTTCCCCTGTCTCGAGCGGTCCTCAGACCAGCCTAGTAACTCTGCCATAACCAAAGATATTCAAATGATTCTAATTTATAAAAAAATCTTTTCTTCGTAACGGCGAAAAGGTGAATCAGTGGTCTTAGGTAAGGGGGCATTGCCGTATAATTTCTTAAGGTCGTTTCAGGGAATCTAGGAGCTAATCTGTGTTTGAAACTTACTGCCCACGTCTGCTTTATAAGTGATATTTTTTTCATGAAGGTTCTGGGGGGCGTGGTGGTGCGATAGGGCGGGACTCCTTACCTTGGGTGGTCGGGCGCCATCAATAAATTAGTTAAATCCATTCTGAGTACCACATGCTGTCTTGTGATTTGTGGCTTCGACCTCGTTGGATATTTACTGTCTCCATGTCTAAATCGCATGGCCTCGTTTTGGACCTGTCTTGTTGGCAGGTTGTGCGATATCTGGTTCGACTTAGCATATGACTAATTCATGAAAGCTATCTCTAAGCCGTGGCTCCTACCAGGATGAGAGCATACTTGTGCTTAATCGGATCCTAAGTTGGATTGATACCTGAGTAGCTTCTGCCATGGACAGGCTGGCTTGCGCGGTACGAGTCTGCTTGGAATGTCGAATCTGGTTGACGAGTGGTTCATCTTAGCTCGGCGGAGTAACGTTTGCTCGAAAGAATGGCTTTCGAATAGCTGAAATTTTGTCTGATACCGAAGAGCTCTAGTTATGGACATTAAGATGGCATGGCCTTGTATTTGGTTGCAGCCTCCTTGTATTGTTGGTTCGGCCTTATTTTCGCGACTTGATCGGAGCGTCAGATGAACATTATGGAATGCACCTAGTCCCGCGCCATCTGCCACTTCGTGATTTCCAACATTGGACCATTGGTTGGGTGCATTCACAAACGTTTGGCATCTGGCATTTGATCATTTTAATTATTTGTTGAGCTTCCATTTCGAGTGAGTGTTGGGCGAAGAGATTTAAAGGTCGGTTCCACTAGAAGGCGGCGGCGGATTCCTCTTGACCAGCTGTCGATTGGCTCTACTGGAAGATACATGCTGACGCTGTTTCCGAGGTAATCTTCATTGATTCTGGTGAAAAGATTCTAAGCTTTCGTCCGTCATATTATGGACATGATCAGAGCAAGTTATCATCGTCAACAAATCCGCCCGTGGCTCTGGTTCAATCAATTTACGGTTGATGCGTAGGCTCTTCCTATTAAAGGTCATGATGAAGTGATCCTCAGGTATGTCTCACCAGGGGACGGTGGCCAACTCCGGTCTTTCTGGGACTTTTCGGCTCTAAACCGAGTTCGACCTGATACAGTTTACTATACGTCTTCCTTTATCTGAGTGAGAATGAGCTAAGTTTTTTACCTAGTTACGTACATCACTTGAACCGTAAATGGCTCTTAAAAAAGCGTCATGGTTTTCCAAGAACTTTTGGTAGTAGCAATAAATATATATCGGACAACACTTCATTTCTTTCAAAAAGGATAGTGGAAGGGATTAGTAAGTTGGTTGCACCGGAAACTGTGGGGCGATTGCCTTGGAGCTAGGGTTGTTGATTTTTCGAATAGGTTCTTGGCTCACCGTCCCGCAATCACGATGAGTGATTGCCATTTGGCTTTTATACGACGTTCAGGTTGACGCAGTCCACGAGACGATTCTTATTTCATCTGAAACGAGACTTCATGACTCCTACTTTATACTCACAAGTGCGGTTGGAAAATGAAATTTAAAGAAAGCCTGTTTGTGGGTTTCCTATTAAAATCCATGACTATTCCTGTTTATTATTTGCTATCTAGGATATGTAGAAAAGGCAAATTACCTTTACTTTCTAGCTAGATGGTGAATTTTCTCTTCCTTTCTATCATGTTCATCAAACCAATAAAATTCTCCTGGTTCTTATTTGCCACGCTTCTAAACCACAAAGTAGTCTTCCATGTAGCAAACCAATAATTAAAGGACTAAAACCACTGCTCATCAAAATTAACCACGTATCTATTTGCTAAGTTTTGTGACAATCCTACAGCTAGACCTCATGTTTGCTCATACGGTTTACCAGTAAAGGTTAAATATATACACTGCATCACTAAATTTGTCATTATTATTATTGACATTTTACTTAACTTTGTACTTCTTAAAATCTCCGGGTGTTGTTCTAATGTTCATCGTTAGTATATGTAGACCATACATCCAAACCTACAAGCAGTAAAGTTTGAGAGCTTTCTAATTATAAATAGCCTGGTCCTAACTAAGCCATATATCTCCTGGAAATATTACATTTAAGACTGAATAAAAATTTGAATAACAGAATAATGAATGCTTTCTCATACATGTAATATGCATATACTTGTATATGTCCTTCAAATTAATAAGAGGAAGATTACTTACCTTTTTAACAGCTGATATCTTTTTTTAAGAGACCCTATGCATTTTCATTCTCATGTATATAGTTGGAGATTACTGGGGGAACTTGCATAAGAACACTGTTCCGCCTATTTCATGTAGGTCTTGAAGAATTAGCAATTGAATTTTCACATTGATATGAGTAGGCCCCGCGTTTCAAATGGCCTTGCTTCCAATAAAATATTCTTACCCGGACTAGAGTGGGCTACAGTTTCGACCTCGCCTAGGTCTCGTCAGCGTCCCCAGCGGGACTCGAACCTAGATAGTATAATTTATAATTGATTTAAAGTTCTCATGTTAACACTAGAGCAAGAAAACTATCCTGTTCTAGTTCACTTCTTATATAGAATCAATCAAGCCAAAGGAAAATTAAAAACCTAAATAGATATAGAGTGGTTTGGCTAATTATCCTTCATACTGGTCCTGCAACTTTTGCTCGAGTGTGTGCGTGTGAGCGTATGCGTTTTAATGACTCTACGCAATACCTGTCCTAAATCAGAGTTGTCAAAAGGCTAGTGTCAGGCTCTGATCATAAAGGCCTTAGGACTCAAGAGAAAGCCCTGACCGAGACTGCGTAAGTCCGTAAGCAATTATGGTTGAGATAATCAAATATGAGCTTGTAAGCATGTAAGTCAAATTACGAAACCACTTGTCATAACCTCTAAGTCTAGGGCAATTAACGCTTAACCATCAAAGGAAAGGAATGACGAGTTGCGTAGTTTGGCATGTCTGGTTTGGTTGATAAACTCAATCTAACATGTTGGACGAGTGTTAGTAAAATTAGAACCATTAACGAGCAGACAAGCTGAGTCGCCTTCTTTTGTATGGCGGCTCAACACCCTCTCTTTCCTTCAATCTATTAATTAAGCATAAATAATTCCTCGAAAGTATGAAGACCAAGATGGTGTGGCCTTCTGTGTGGTCGTAGTCCCCTTTCGTTGTAGAGAAGTTGCTTGACCTTGTTTTCGCACATTGGTCATATTGGTAGGGAGACTTAGAGGAACGCAACTTGCCTGGAGTTATTGTTTACATAATACTTTCCAAAGTTGGACCCTAGACGGTACATTCCCAGACGTTTCGCCAGTATCGTAGTCGGCATCGTCAGTGAGTTTTGCCATTCGTAGTACTATATTACAACTCGTCAAGGAGACAAGTGAAGCCGATTCTTTGACCAAACGTGTGCTAAACAATTATGGTATCGCCCCTTCTGCCCTGGCCTATTCACATTTCCTATATCCTCTTATCACGCCTTCACTTTCACTTTCACAATTTTTACTTAATTAAATGGTGTTTCCACAGCCTCTATCTTGCCTCGTAAGATCCGTTGGCCCTCTCCCTGGTTCACATATTTCACTCAACCCTTGCCACCCCATCTGTGCCACTCGGGGAGTTATTCGCTTTCCATTGTGTCTGGGTGGCTAATTCGAGGCTAAAGCCTCTGAGTAAGTCTCATAGTTACGCCTTTGCCACATGGACCACGTCTCTTATAATACCTACTGTCAGCCCACTAGCTCCCATCGCCGCCACATCTATCCTGT